GGCCCGGCCCGGCCTGCCTATAGGCTGTATAGGCTTTGTACTACCTGCCTTTTGGAGCTCGCTTAGCCAGATGTTTTCTTCCCTTTTGTTCCTAACTTCTGTTCAATGTGACTTGAGTTCTCCCAAGCTTTCACCTGCATAGCGAATTCTCTTTATGCATTACTACGCGGTCCGGTAGTAGCACCTGTTCCAAATGAGTTGTTTCTAGTGGAAAGGAAAAGTTAAAAACCCTGGCAAATTATAGGTGGTCATACACATTCTCGTGAGTGAACCAAATCTAAACCTCTTGCGGGTTCCCCGGGGGGGGAACACTGGGGGATGAGTGCCAAATGCGAAGTGTTTGGAAACTTTCTCTAAATTTGACCCGATGGTTTCCGTGACAACAGTTTTTCAATGCCAAGGGTCCGGCCTATAGGCGCCCACCAGGCCTGATAGGCTTCCATAGGCTGATGGAATTCGGCCTATATCGGCCTAGGCCATTCCTCGCAGTGGCCTGCCTTGGCCCGGCCGGCCTACGAGCGGCCTGGCCCGTTGGGAACACTGCGAGTAGGGAAACAAAAGTGACAGGACGGAAATTCAGGGGGGACAAGATGACGCAAGAGGCCAGAAAGAAATGATATGACGAGACGCAAGTTCATCCTCCATCACCAATTCTCGGCATGATCATGTATCATCACTCGGGCCGGGTAACATTGTTACACTCTCTCAGCTATTGAAATAAACTCAAGCTTAACTCGTGCTAAACAAAGTTTGCGCAATCACCGAGAGCTATCATATATAGCTTGGGCGTTACTGTACTTGGGTACGGTACTTGTATCCGGCAAAATGTATTTTAGAATAAGGCTAGTGTTACATAACCACCCTACCAGTAAAAATAACTGTGTTTTATTTTCAGATGCTTCATGCCTGATACGGGCAGAAAAGGGAAGGGTAAACAGATGGCCAGGTCCATGTGGAGTACTGTAGCTCGGAGACAGGTTCCACCGGTGGAAAAATTCTTGTCTTGGTAGTCACTGAAGGAGTAGGTATCGTAGTAATGCATTTCAAGTAAGGTATCAATGGGCAGTTCAATCCATTCATTTTAAAACCCCTTAAGAGTACCATCACAAAATACTTGGTTCCGACCCTCTAGTCCCGATTCGGCCATTTGATGATAAAATCCCGGCACTCAGAATCATGAACGATCACTTGTCGCGCGACTCCCCTGATCGATCGGTGCTCCTACTTGTCCCTTGCCTCATCACCAAACCTTTTCCGCCCTTTCTTACCATACCTGGGTACATGGATCTTCACCTAAAGACTAAAGAGAAAATCTACAGTTTTTCTGTGCCGGCTTGGCTGGAGGGCGGAATCTGAAGGAGGGGGCCTGCTACTGATTGTGTTCCGGTGTATCCGGCCACCTTGCGCCGGGGGTTTGGCGGCTGGTGAGGTGAGAAGGGATGTTGTGGGACCGGGATACTAGCGCGGACGAGTTGAAATTGGACACTATGGCGGCCTTAGGTCTGGGAGCCAACCGGATGCCAAAGATATTGGGAGCCTTTTGACTTGACTGGCCAACCGATTAGTCTCTATTTCTAGTGTCCAATTCAACTCCGCCGTGCCAGTACCGTATTATGGTTGGTTGACCTGAGGGAAGGAAAGAGTGAGCTGGCATAGCCTAATCGGTAAGTGCAGGGATAAGGTTCGTTGGCAAGGTCCCTAGCATCATAGTCTAGTCGTACAAGTTTATCAGCCAGGTGTTTACACTCTGGGGGGCGAGACGAGCTGCACACTCCCCCTCACCGAGCCTCTGCAGGACCAAAGATGACCACCTGTTGTATGAAAGTGGATCTCAAAACTATGCTGTAAGCGTCCTCGGGTAATATCTCTTTGTTTATATGATACCAGTTACAGTGTTACTATTAGAAACTGGGGCTGTAGAACATAGCTCGCACACGAGATTTACGCTGTGGATTTCTCTGCTGTACAAGTAGCTCGGGAACGTTATGATAGCGGGGCGGGTACGTGAGAGGTTAGATATTTGCGTTTAAATAAGTAAATAAAATACCGCAGAACCGTCTTCTGAGCAGTTTGGGTGACGTCGCATGAGTGTATCAGGAGTGGGTAGCCCAGGTTTTCGCTGCCTATCAACCTTTATTGCGATATCAGGGATCACTCAGGTTGCTCTTTAGGGCCACCGCCATCAATATGTGGGGACTTTTCGTGGGGTAACATAGATACTGTGCCGTTAGCCTGTGTGCATGTGGACCTTTGGTATATGGAACCCAAGAGAATACATTTGTACCTTTATTAGTATTTTTGAATCCTAGCTCAGACTCCAGCTTATGAAAACTACCGAATTTCGTTTCAAGCCCCGTTTTTTTTTATTACTAGTGAAGATCTTATGATATGAGGGATGCCGAGCTGGTCGCAAGGGCTTGGATCAGGGTTGTTCGGGGAGTTCGGACATCTCTTTTAGTCACATCGGGTTCTCTGGGCGGATCAGCCAGGTTGGCAGGGAGAGAGCGGAAAGAAATGATTGCCGGGCCCTGCTGATATCCTGTGCAGCTTCAACATGTACTCCACAAGCAAAAATTCTCGTGAAAGGTAGTATCCGTGAACCTTCGTTGCTCTCTCTGGTAGACCAAACGACGGTGCGAGGTTGCTATAGTATCGATTTTCAGAACCGGAGACCAAAGTCAGGACGTATGAGTAACTCGCCCTATGATTTCACACGTGCTACATTATATGTATGATACCGGTACCTGTATATCGAAGCGTAACGGCTTTCCAAGGTAGTACGCAGGGAAAATAGGATTTTTTTTTGAGGATTAAATTTCAACAGCACTCAGATCGATCGGTCTGTCCGTAAAATTTAATGATAAAATATTATTATTATGGCGAAAATCGGGTGCTTGGCTTTCAAATCTAAAACAACAGAGGGGGAATAGATCAACGTTATCCCCACACCTGGAGTCCCCCTCGCTTATGGTAGTGCAGACAGTGTCAGCAAACCCTTGCATATTACAGGGCCTGTATTTGGGACCCTTATGCTATGTCACGCGGTCGTGAAACCTTGACTCTCCTCACCGAAGTCGACCACCCCTTTGCGGTCAATAACTTCCGAGAATCATGAGAATCGATGGAACAGAACTTCCTGCCCAATCCAAAAATCGCTCGGGCCAAGGACCTTGTGTCATTTTGGGGGCGGAGGGGTCGGGATACTATACCTACCTGTGGCTCCCTAAGATGGTTTGGTGATGACCAATGTGGTGTGTGTATGTTCTCCCCAATAGTTGGCAATCTTGGCGTATGATACAACATGTCGGAACTAGGGGTAAGAATTATTATCGATTCTCATAATATTGTGATATTATCAGAAAAGTTTTAAGCTGTGACCTCTGGGAGGTCGGAGGGTACAGTACAGTACTGTGTAAGTCTAGAATACCATAGTCTTTGACAAATTAGGGCCCTTTGGGCCAACGTTACTTGAGTAGGATTGTCCCCCTGTGGGAATTTTCAATGCCCTCTTCCACAAGCGCAGCCTGGCTAGGGGCACTCGTCAACATAGTTGCTCTTGGCCGACTTTCCTTCATCAGCGCCCCAGCCTCTCCTCTATTACCTTCCTATCGTACCTCATCTTCCAGTCCGCCCCCTTTCCCGTGCTTCACTCAGATGCGCCGTGCCACCGGCTAAGACCCCAGAGTGGCGGGCATACTCGGTTTAGGGCTGACAGCGAGATTCTCACCGACAAGAATAATTTTTGAGCAACCTGCATCACCTGGACCTTTGGCTCCAGATCAGCTTACCGGCAGAATTCCCTTCCGGAATCATCATCAAAAAAAAAAAAAGGCCCACATATCACTAGGGCTGCACCTGATAATATTGAATAAGTCACACGTCTCGTGGGGTTTCTCATGGCAGAACTAGGAAAAGTCTTATTTAGGTTACTATTCTCCTGATTTTTGATTTTTGGCCGGCGGGATTCCTCCTTTCGGAGGGCAAATGAGATTTGGGATCGGAGTCTCTGGTAGACAGGGAAGCCAGTAAGGTTGAGGTACTGAGTACTCGTGCATGCCCTGAAAAAATAAAATAGTAAAAGAGGGAAACACGCTCCTGACATGCTGATAATATTTCCTGATAGCTTCCTGTGCATCGGGTAGACCCTGATGTTTCTGGATAGGAGAAAAAACCGTCTTAGCGGTTCCCCGTTCTGTATCAATGCGGCTGAGATTATTCAAAAGCCCAAATTGGAACTGCTAGTTCTGTGGGGTTCCTCTTATCTGCAGCCATTTTGGTGCTCCTCCAGGAATCCGGCTGGGGAGAATATGAGCTGGCTCTTAGTTGATATTAGTATCAACGGTAGTTACCAGAAAGCTTTCCTTCGCTTCCTGAGGTTCATTTTTGGGCTGGGAGTAACACGGTCGTAGACGGAATCTAGGGATACGAATTTAACGACTAGGATCTAGAGCGGAAGGTACAGAATAGCGCGCATGATCGTTAGAAAATGGGTACCATTTGGGGCGCAGAATGGACCTCCACCGGGGTGAGGTCATGGATTCAGGCACTTGTCTGGAAGGTGTTGGTGACATTGTAGGTTGCCGTACCAATATACTCCATGGTTTTTTGAGCGTGTGAGAGCTCATGATGCTAGTTGCCTAGATGCCTTCAAGGTGGGGCATGGGGGACGATAAGGATCGGCTGGATTCTATCATAAGTAGACTACAGGTTGCTCCTTTGAATGAGGTCTTTGTGATCTTGTCGGTGGTGCTTTTATCCTCCGGAAAATGAATGTAATTACAGTGTGGTTGCGGTCGAGGTATTCAAAATATGCATTGGCAGGGAGGTGAATTCAGTGCAGTGCAAAGGTTTCATACAGCTATGATATATCAATAAGAATATCATTATTATGGTTTAGATGTTTAGCTTACAATGTGGGAATCACGTGAGATGGTGGTTCAACGCTGACGTCGGCTGCTGTCAACCACAATCTCATCTCAACTGCAATCCAAGCCCATCTCCATAACTTCCACAACAATCCCTATCTACCATCGAGAAATATTACCAAGGCAAACACCACAACAACATTTTCTTTTTTAAAAAAAACTCGAAACAGGATGTCGTCCGACGAAGAACGCACCTTCACCCGCCTCCTCGAGGAACAACGTGCTCAAAACAACCCCGTATCCGCAAATAGGACCAGCGAAGCTGAATGGCGCACGAAACTTTCCGGAAAGAAAATTGTTGACGGCCAAGCTAATTCAGTACGACACCCCCACTTGCCTGGCCTCTCCCTCAAAAATACCCTCGTACTTGGGAAGTAATAGTAATGAGTTGTTTTACAGGTGGATACTTTTAGCAAGAAGGATTTACCAGAGAAGCATAGAGTAGTTCCCCCCGGAGCGGTCGTCACCAAAGATTACTATCCTGATAGGTGAGATGTTCCCCAGGCTGGGAATGCGTGATAAAGTGAGCTAACGAAGGTCAACTGTTCTAGGTTGAACGTACATGTCGACGAGCAAGGGAATGCTACCCACGTTACTTATGGTTAAGCAATAGTAACGTGATGGACCGGGGGATTGAGGTTTGGGGCTAGGGGGGATTGAATGGTCTTTAAGAGCTGGAAATTAGAGGTATATCACATTGGGGGGTAGGTTGGTTTTTAGGCGGGGTGGAAGCCATTCAACTCTTCCGAATCGTATAGCGCATCGCTATGGTTTACTCGGGTGGGAAGTTAATCCGTGAACACTGTCGGATTGCCATAGATACTCCTTCTAGCAAATAAAAACCACAGAGCGTTTAGGGAATTATTTCTTCTCTTTACAATCAATAGACTTAGCCGCACATCAGGAACGGCCACTCATTGGGGGTGTTCACGGACCAACCCTAGTTTCTGAGTGCTTGTGACAAGGGATCTCGCGCCAACAATGCATGCAGTGTACACGCCGAGGGTCGAATTTCGGTAGATGTACCACCGTGGGCTGTTTTGTTAGTACAGCAGGTAGGGAGATTGCGTGCTGGGCCTTGAGCATGTTCTATGTCGGTTCGGATCTATTTTCTTATCCATCTTGACTATCCTCTTATTGGTTTTACGTTATTTCGGGCTCTATATATCAAGATTTCTCGGCCGACCTAACGTACCTCACGATGACCCCGGACAGGTGGCAGTTTTGCTGCATTTTGATATCCAAGCAAGCTGTCCGCTTGACGGTTGTTTCGTGTTACAGCCTAGTGCGTTTCGGGTCACCACGAGGTCGCTAAGGAACAGTTATTGAATTTGCCACGATGTCGTGATTTTATATAGCCGGCCGAACCGGTTGAGCTTGTTGCCGTTTACGCCGACCTACGATCGAGCGCATCCTATCCTTAGTGGATAGTCGATTTGACTGAGGTGTCGGGGCGGCTCTGTAAACAGGCAGGTGCATTATCCGTAGGAACGGTGTATCCTGGCCGGAATTTGATTTGGGGTGAAAATTTAAGCTCTGTCTTGTACGGTACACCAGTCTCCGAGCCAGAGCTCAGATCGGGGACACGAGATTGCCATATCTAACCACCACCACTACTAAAGTTAGAGGGGTGGGGATCAGACCGAAGCCATCATTTGGATGGCGACGAGAGGTGGTGGTAAGCGTGGGCCGTAGGGACCCTTCTGGGAGGCGAGGGTAAGTTTAATGTCATACTGTGTATTGACACTAGGAGGAAACGGCACCCGCTGACATGTTGCTCGGGTAGAGGATTTTTGGGGGGCAACACGAGTGATCTCACTTGACCGGACGGAAAGCGTGGATTGTCCCGAACACCCTCCCCCAGTGCAAATACAGCCCTCCATAATTTCAACGTCTGCTGAAAAAGAGATAACTATAGTAATATTAAGAGAGCTCTAATGATGAGGTAGTATTGTAGTAATTGAAAGATGGGGAAAAAAAACCAAAAGTTATCAAGTTTTAGATTGTATGTGAGTTCGCTCAAGTTCAGGGATAATATACACTCTCTCCCTTTTCGCCAGCATCATACATGAGTCCAGCATAGCTCAGGATCGCCCGAATCCAGCTGGTGAGATCTGAGCAAGCCTTCTGTGACTAGAGACCGAACTAAATGGATGCAATACGTTGATCCAGCCCGGGGCAATCATCAAGCTCCCGGCTTAACAGGCTTTTCCAAGCTTAAAATCCAACTAGATCTATTTCGTAGGATGACTTCTCCCGGAAATACGAGATCTTGTGGGTCAGGTTCTACTAGGACTATTGTGGCATACAGGAGATTGTAGTATCGATGATGTTCCTCAACCCTAACATGAACTGTGGGCATTGCCCCCGGCGTTGTATAATTTTTTTCACTTCTTGGGGATTAGATACGAGATTTGAAGTTAACAGAAACACCTCAGCGCGGCTACTGGTGATGTCTCCCGAGAATCAAGAGGTGGAGAGCTCAGAAGGACCCGGGCTGTTACTAAAATATCATCAGGCAATATACCGACCGGAGGCTTGCTGTCTGTATTAGCTGATACAATTACCAGCATTGGAATTCCGAATCTTGAGAATTGAAGCCCATTGACCGACACGCGGTTCTCCCACTTCACTGTAGTACATGGTGACTAGAGGAACTTGGGGTTGCTTTTATTGTATTCTTACCTGGCCCGGAGGGCACTCACAGAGAACTTTCTCGCCGTGGTTAGCACGGCACGGGAGCTGTCTGCCTTAAAAACAGAAATTATACTCTAGTAGATTAAAGAAGAAAAAACCGGTAATGATCAAGCTAGTAAGTGAAGGCCCGGGTATATGATTATTGTTAATTTGAAACGCCGAACACTGAGTATATTTTCTGAATGATGAAGTTAAAGTCTGATAGTTGTTTGCAGGAATGAATGGGTAGAGAGGTTTAGATCTTAGCAGAACTTCCGTGATATTGTGCGGTAGGAGATATAAGGAACTTTTTGGCATATTGTAAACTATTACTAGCAATAAGGAAGATAAAAACAAATCAGAATGAGCAGGATAGTGGACCGCATGGGAAAATATGAGGAGGTAGAAAGGTAGAAATTGGAGTAAGTATTATTAGGCCGGGGGGTTGGACAGTTGGGTAGCTCCTCGTATAACTATTTATTGCTATTTCCTACTTACAACTTTTATAAATCCACTTTCATACACTCTGTTAACCTGCTAATAGAAATGTTACTTATTATCACAAGTCTGTTATCTTTAGTGACTATAGCAAGAAGTCTTCCCTGGATAAAGAGTACTTGGTAGAACATTTGAACAAAGTAATATGCCAGTGAGGATATCCTACCAGTTGCTACGATGCGGATAGTTGAACTATAACAACTTATGATACTAGTTCCCAAACTTGTCCCCCTACCTAAGGGCTAAGTATCTTGTAACTTAAAGCTAAGTATCTCCTAGTCTAATGGCAGTTTTATATTTACATATTTTGACACATATCCATATTTCAATATTTATTGTATAATTATTTCAAAATAAGCAGAGAATATAGCTGGGAGTATTATACCAATATTGTCACAAATCAGTACTTGTGATAAAGAGAGAAGATAAGGGTTTCACAAGACTCATATAAATAAATCATAGAATATGAGTTATTAGTTGCTTGAATAACATATCATACAATTGTGAATCATATAATATAATAACTCTTATATATGACTTGGAAGTATGAGTTATAAGTTTCACATATATGATACAGCTATGTATATGATTACCATAGTTATAAGTATTATGATTGGTTTGAATACATAATACAGTTGACTTATTAGAAGTTAGCAGATGGATTTCATATAACTAATATTGATGAGTCATAGAAGAATGCAACACAGAGGTATGCTTATAAAAAGAAGGTTCTGGCTCCTATTTAGTAAGCTCTTCGAACCATGACAAAGGAAAAGGAAAAAGGAAAGGACAAGGGAAAGGGAAAGGGGGGGGAAAGGAAAGGTTAAGGGGAAAAGAAGCAAATAGGGCTGGGTTCCGCTCCGACTCGAGTGCTGAAGCCGAGTATGTTGGGACCAGCACTGGTAAGAGAAGAAGAGAGAAGATGGTACAGTACATGGGTTCCCACTGCATGGACGACAAAAGGGGTCGGTCAATACTGCATAGGAATATTTTTGAAGAAAAAGGTTCTCTGAAGAACGGGAATAAACACTCTTCATTTTTCTTTAAATAATACTCACTGGGCTTCTCTGTTCACGAAACCCCTTATCCCGGATACCCCGTTATCCCGGGTGAAATCCATGAAATTTGGCCATCCAGGATAGCGGGGGTGCGACTGTATGTAAATACTCAAGTTGAAGAGATGTAGTTCTGGGTCCCATAATTAGCTACTTACATTTGTTTAAAATAAGTCCCTGACACTAATGCACGAGAGATACTCGAGTACAGTATTTCGCAAGTGTCTTAGAGTGCTGCGGGAAAAAAGAAAAAGAAAAAAAAATCCAACTGAATTCAAACATCAACTAGGAGAAGGGTAAAGTATTGGGACAACCTGCTGTGTGAGGAGGACAATTACTCTCTACTCAGGCATTCCCACGAGCCCCCAATTCATCCTACACGCCTACGCAATATTTGGTAAGAACCGATACCGTACCCTTTCCGAGAGTTTTGCTTGCTTCCGCCACTGATTCACTCCCACCCAAAATCCCCTGCTTGTCCCGAAACGAGTACTTTACCCCTGCACCGACCACGATACTCCTCGCGTATGCGATACTCGAGTACCCCAGCCTGTGCTCTCAACCCTTCGCCCAAACGGTACGCCCGGGCGCGCCGTTACTCGGATGATCCTCTTCCACAAATAACCCCACAAAGGCGTATGATACCTTGAAAGAACAGGATATAGCGCGGGGCAACATATGATAGCAGGACCCGGAAAAGCTATATAAATTACATTGCCAGTATCGGCAAGTCCTTCTCTCGGATACGGCAGGCCACGATAACTTGCTCGAGTCCCTTGCTCGATTCCCGGTAACGTATATGCGCTGTTCCGAAAACCCCTTTGCAATAGCGCCAACAATAACCACAAAACAGCAGGGCGAACATTCCTTCCTCCTCCACTGCTTCTAATCTGATACCGCTCAAGATGATCGCTCGGGTGGAGGAACCAGATGGAGCGAGAGGTAGGTGTATCCGCGCACTCACATCTCCGCGGTCACATGGAAGGATGGAAGGAAGGGAGAATGAGTATCAGAGCGAAGGATGAACAAGAATATTCCGTGACAATCATGGAACGAGCTAAGCTGAGTATGTCTACTGTATCATCATAGGGCTTGGCAGTGCCGCTGCTACCATTGGGGGGGGGTCAGAAGGGAAAAAAAGGGGGTTGGGATCATTGTGAAATGCTAGTTACTTGTACGAGTAGTGTACCAGTACCAGCACTCGTACAATACCTGCATTCGAATAGGTATCTTTCTGTATTGGTATGAGTGAGAACGAATTGAATAGCGCAAGATTATCGCTGATTGGGCAAAGACGCGTGTGTCTTGTCGTCGTATGTATGGTGTGAGTACCCGTTTTGGAAGGATACCGTAGATCAACAATGTATGGGATAGTCAGGTTGGTGTGATGGATCGGTCGGTAGGGTAGGGGTTGGTCGTTCTTGATAGTACCGGTAAGTTGTATCGGTACTCGAGTACTCGAGTAGATAAGGGGAGGTGGTGAATGGTGGGGGGGACTCGGTCGTGTGTTTTGAGTTCCAGAAAGTGTTGAAAATTCTTAACTGGTTTTAGCTGTCTTGTCGTGCGGAACACCGGTACGAGTATTGTGATCGAGCACTAGCGCTTCTTTTCCACATGGAAGGGATACTTAGCTGAAATAGGTGCTGTGCTT